GGCCGCCGATATCCCGCCGCCTATACTTCTCGTTTGCCGGGCTAATCCGACTATTTTCCACCTACGCACACCCCAACGACCCCTAATATTCGCGAATATCGCTCGATACGCAATTATAGTGTGCCACCCCTTCCCCTCCGCGCTAATGAGATTCCCCACTGGATCGAATGGGTCGGTTAAAAATTTTTTCGTCGCGTAGCGCTTTGAACGACCCTTTGTCCCCATTGTTTAGGGAGATTCGAGAGAAATGGACGAATTTTGGGGATTCGAGAGAAATGGGTGACTCGAGGGGACACGATTTCGAAATTAGCTTTCCCGATTTTTCGATCCCTTTGGATTTTAGGATTCGTCACATTGCTTTCAAACATTGCTCGTCGTGGTTGTAAATTGTGGTTAAGAAGATTTTTATTAGAAATGAGATATATTTAATGAATTGTCGGGTATGGAAATTGTGTATACGAGGTTTGAAAGAGTTGATTGTACATCTGAATGATGAATGAGTGAAATGGGGCGAGGTAATGATAAAAAAAAAAAAAAAAAATAAATAAAATAAACGAGTGAAGAGATACCGATGAATATAATGAAAGAGCGGATAACGAAAGGGGGAGGTAATTAATTAAATTTCATATCGTTTGCGTTCACTCGTGTCGCCTTTTTGTTTCGTTGCTATTTTTTTCTTTTTTTTTACTATTTTTTAACTTTACATGTAGATCGTAAATAAAAAGTGAAATATCGTATTTTTTTTTATTTGCGATTAATCAACGAGATTTTCAAATGGAAAATCTTTCAACAGAATGTGTATTTATGAAATTAAGATAAGAGTTAATATCGAGTTGTAAAAGATTACTATTTTTTTATTTCCATGGTAAATACCAAATAAGTGAGGTAATTAGGTAGTCGACAGCTTATTCTACACGTCCATCATGTCGAATCGTTAAAATATGATTTAAAATGCCTCTTTAATGCGTTGCTTCTTGTATCAATAATTAAAATTTTGACGTTTCATTATTTACATAATAATTTACGCGAGTGCAAAATGTTTATCGAACAATTTCTTTAAAACATTACGAGTTTCCACGTTGAAATTGGCTTTCAATGTTAAAATTTTTACGTTCGAATTTTTATTGAAGCAAAAAAATAAGGAAAAAATTTTTCGCGTCAGATAAAGCGAAATTAAAATCAAAAGCCAAACGTTTTTCGTATCAAATTGCTCGAAAACACGAGAGTTTTTTTTAAAGATTTATTAATTTTTTCAAGCATAGCCGCATTTATTTAATCCGTCTACCTTTCAAGAGCGAACATTACGTTAAGAGATAAAATAATTTTGCCTCGTACGGCAACAAATTCTTTAAAAAGCTTTATGCGTTCACGATATTAAAGGCATCCCTTGATGCTTGCTTTCTTTCTAACGAAATAACGCGTCATTTCGTTTCATATCCAGCGTTGAATTAAAATTCATCGTTGAATTTTTCGATCATCTTAACAATCAAGAATATTTCTATAATTTGAATTTCCAATTTGTTAAATTCTTTATTGAATTCGTTTTCGAATATCCCTACATATATATATATATATATAAATTTTATAAAAATAACGAAAGCTTTGAGAATTATGCATTCAAAATCATTACTCGCAACGGACACGAAACAAAAAGGGGATTAAATAAACGAGATGAATAAGCTGGAGTAATTGAAAAATATGAATACGTTAAAAATACGATATAATAATAATAATAATAATAATAACAACAAAATAATAATAATAATAAAACAAATAATAAAACAACAACAAAAATAATAATAATAATAATAATAATAGGAAAGGATATTTGAGTTACGAAATGCGTTGGCATTTACATTTTTCTTTTTTTAAGATTAAAATCCATTCTCCTAACAAATGTGCTTCGTGTCGCACGATTGACGTCGAAAAAAAAAAGGGGATGAATAGGGGCAGCGATGAAATATTTGCGAAAATTCTCATTAATGTAAATGAAAAAAAGAAGAAAAAAAAGGGGGGGGGGATAAAAATATACGAATGCATTTCATCACGGAAAATTTTATCTCTAATATTTTTTATTTATCCAACAATCCATTTCATCATGGATAAGTTTTAATTCGTACTTACGAATCATTTTCTTTCCTAATATCGTGAACAATATATATCGTTCGAACGAATTTGCAAAATAAATATTTTTTTATTCTCATAGATATTACGTTACAAAGAAAAAAATAATTAGCGATTTATATAAATATCATTGAGAAGAATATACGCATAATACAAATGATTAATGAACGTGTTCAATGTGTGTGTTAAATAATTTCAATAAGAACGAATAATTAAACGGAATCAAAAAATTCAGGGACAGAGTGATTTACGAATACATCCGTTTAAACCGTAGATCGAAAGTTCAGAATTTACGATTCTTATTTCGACCATTTCCTCGTCAGACTCATCAACTCAAATCATTTATTTCGTCGCGCCTCGATAAATCACCGGTTTCGTTCATCTCACGAAATTTCGTTCCTCGAAACCTCATCAATTTCTCCCGAAACGAAACGAAGAAGAACGAGAAGCGATGGAGAAAGAGAGAAAAAGAAAAATAGACGAGTAGGTAAAAGAGAGAGAGAGAGAGAGAGAGAGAGAGAGAGAGAGAGAGAGAGAGAGAGAGAGAGAGAAAAGATCATCCGACGTAAACTAGTTAGTTTCGAAGGATATTCCCGAGGATGACGAGATCCTGTTTGCGCAAACAACATTTCCATGTGTCTTTCCTTCATTTCTCCTGTGGAAGAGCGATCATTCGGACGGGATTTTTCAATATTTTTCACATCGAATATATTTTGCATATTTTTACACAAACCACGTAACATAAAAAATACACACGATGAAAATTACAAAAATCGTGTAGAAAATTTGCATTAACGAAAATTCGCGATCTTAAGTAATTAAACGTCGCGTTGCCTTGGAGACGAGGAATATATGAATCTTCGTTGAAGGCACAAAGCGGTCATTCATTCCGCTTGCGGATCAATCGATTAGGATCTGACCGACCGCGATAGAAATCATCATCCCCGAAAACGGTGGTGTATTCACGGTTGAAAACAGGATCTTATTTATTCAACGATTCTCCTCGGTCCGAAGGGCTAATGAAATTACTCTAGAGGCCGACGACCGGCTAGAGTTTACCAGCTAATTAATTGGCATTGATGCAGCCAATTCCATTGAAATGAAGCGCTCCTCGTCGATGCTATTTCCTCTTTGCGACTCTTATGTTCTCCTCCAACCCCTTATTATTTCTCTCTCTCTCTCTCTCTTTCTCTCCGTCTTTCTCTCTCCCCATCTCTTTCTCCACTTCTCTGTCTACCCAACAGAGAAGTCGACCCTCTCGATCAGTCTCCTTTGCATCCTGTCGTTCCCCGTTCTCGCCTTATCGTCAGAAATCTATGATACGGACAGACCTTTTCAACCGTTTTCGCCGTTTCCTTCCTTTTCATCCCCTCTCCATCCTGTTACCTTTCTTCTTTTCTCTTTTTTCTTCCCCCCCTCTTCCATTCCTCTCTCTTTCTCCTCCATTCTATTTCTTTCTCTCTCTCTCTCTCTTTCCTCCCCGCTTTGTCCATCAGAGCGCCGATTGAATTTCTACGGCTAAAATGCGGCCATACTAACTTAATGGCGCTTTCAAACCGTGATGCACTTGATCCAGTTTAATTTTTTTCCCCCTCGGGGTAATTGTCTCGATTTTTTTAACGGCGAAATTACCGCCGCCCCCGCGACGATTTTTTTTTTTTTT